CTACCCACAACTTCATAGCCGATTGTGAAGCACAGTGACTTGGGTTGACCTTGGAGAAGAGCCCAAGCCGAATGAAGGCGGTGAACTCGGAGGCCAGGCGAATCTCCGGGTTGGCGAACGGAGTTCCCATCAAAATCGGGACTTGGAGCGGAAACACCAACATGATGGCCGTGCCACTGGACGACTTCCAAGTGATTCTTGGAATGGAGTTTATGCACGCGGCGAAGTTGGTGCCGATGCCGTTCTTGAACTCCCTATGTATGATGGGAGGCGATGACCCCTGCGTGGTTCCCGTCTCTTGGAGAGGAAGTAAGGAGCCCCAACACATTTCGGCATTACAACTGAAGAAAGGGGTGCGAAAAGGCGAATTGACATTCGTGGCTGCTATGAAGCTAGAGCCACTCAACGAGGAGGCCATTCAAGAACCTGCTGTGGTGGCGAATGTCCTAAAAGAGTTCAAAGACGTTATGCCACCCGAGTTGCCGAAGACTCTTCCACCACGCAGAGGCGTGGATCACAGCATCGAGCTGGAGCCAAGAGTGAAGCCTCCAGCGAGACCACCCTACCGCATGCCCCCACCAGAGTTGGCAGAACTCAGGAAGCAGTTAGGTGAACTGCTAAGCGGTGGTCTCATCCGTAACTCTAAAGCACCTTTCAGAGCTCCAGTTCTTTTCCAGAAGAAACAAGATGGGAGCCTCCGATTATGCGTCGACTACTGAGCCCTCAACAAAGTAACAGTGAAGAACAAGTATCCCATCCCGCTCATTGTGGACTTGTTCGACCAATTGGGCAAAGCAAAGTATTTCTCAAAACTCGACCTTCGGTCGGGGTATTGGCAGGTGCGCATTGCTGAAGGCGACGAAGCAAAGACTACTTGTGTGACCAGGTATGGAGCGTTTGAGTTCTTGGTGATGCCTTTCGGCTTAACCAACGCTCCGATCATATTCTGCACTCTCATGAACCAGCTATTCAAGGAGTATTTGGATAAGTTCGTGGTCGTCTACTTAGACGATATCGTCGTCTACAGTCAAACGCTCGAGGAGCACGTCAAGCACCTTCGGACGATTTTCAAGGTTCTCAGGGAGAATACTTTGTTCGTGAAAAGGGAGAAATGCTACTTTGCTCAAACTGAGATCTTATTCTTGGTGCATCGAATTGGTGATGGCTCCATTAGGATGGATAAGTCGAAGGTGCAAGCAGTTGCGGAATGGCGAACTCCAAAGAAGGTGCCAGAGTTGAGATCCTTCCTTGGTTTCGTCAATTACTATCGACGCTTCATAGCAGGATATTCGAAGCGAGCAACCCCACTGACGGAGTTGCTGAAGAAGGAGCAGCCTTGGAAGTGGTCTGACAAATGTGAGATAGCATTCCAAGATCTGAAGGCTGCTGTTCTGGAAGAACCGGTGCTCAAATTGCCGGACTATGGAGAGCCCTTTGAAGTCCATACAGACGCTTCAGACTTCGCTATTGGGGGAGTACTCATGCAGGAGGGTCATCCGGTGGCCTACGAGAGCCGCAAACTCAACGAGACCGAGCGGCGGTATCCAGTGCATGAGAAGGAGATGACAGCAGTGATCCATTGTCTACGAGTTTGGCGACACTACCTCCTCGGGTCGCGATTTGTGCTAAGGACAGACAACATCGCCCTGAGCTATTTCCAAACTCAGAAGAAGCTCTCCCCAAAGCAGGCGCGATGGCAGGACTTCCTGGCTGAATTTGATATGGTAATGGAGTACAAGCCCGGGAAGGCGAATGTCGTGGCCGATGCGCTGAGTCGGAAAGTAGAACGCGTGAATGCCGTGCAACTGGAGGGCAGAGGCCAAGCAAGCCAGTTGCACTCCAACTTCCTTTCCCGAATCAGGGATGGACTGTATATTGATCCCCAGGCAGTTACCCTGATGCAACTCATTAAAGAAGGCAAGGCACGTCGATTTTGGGTCCAGGAGGGACTTGTTTACACAAAAGGGAATATGGTTTATGTTCCCCGAGTGGACAATTTAAGGCGTGAGCTCTTAAAAGAGTGTCACGATTCCCTTTGGGCTGGACACCCAAGCATTCACAGAACGTTGGCTCTCGTGGAGAGGGCCTTCTACTAGTCGAAGATGGGGATTGATGTGGAGGAATATGTTCGAACATGCCTTACTTGCCAACAAGACAAGGTGGAGCAGTGGAAGCCGGTGGGACTTTTGGAGCCGTTGCCTGTACCAGAAAGGTCGTGGGAGAGCATTTCCTTGGACTTCATATCAAGCTTGCCACCTGTAGGGGGACTCGGATCGATACTCGTGGTGGTCGATCGGTTTTCAAAGTATGCAACTTTCATCGCTACTCCCCTACACTGTTCAGCAGAAGAGGCGGCCATGTTGATGATGAAGGATGTAGTGAAGTATTGGGGAGTCCCGCACAATATCATTAGTGATCGAGACGTTCGGTTCCTAGGACGATTCTGGACCGAGCTATTCAAATTGTTGGGGTCAAAGTTATACTTCTCTACAAGCCTCCACCCCCAGATGGATGGCCAGACTGAAAGGATAAACTCGCTCTTGGAGCAATATCTCTGGCACTACGTGAGTGCCAATCAACGAGATTGAGTGAAGCTGTTGGACATTGCCCAATTCTCCTACAACTTTCAGCGGAGCTCTGCATCCAACAAGAGCCCCTTCGAGATTATCACAGGACAACAACCGTCGACTCCGCACACCATGGCAATTGGGTATACTGGGAGTAGTCCATCAGCCTATCATTTCGTAAAGGAGTGGCATCGAAATGTAGATATTGTGCGGGCTTACTTGGAGAAGGCGGCAAAAAGGATGAAGAAGTGGGCAGACTTGGGAAGGCGACCGCAAGAGTTCAAAGTTGGCGATTTGGTGTTGGTAAAGCTCCAACCAGCATCACTCCAATTCTTTAGGAATAGAGTCCACAAAGGATTGGTGCGCAAGTACGAAGGGCCCTTCCCAATTATCAGCAGGGTAGGCAACGTCTCTTACAAGTTGCAGCTGCCGGCGTGGTTCAAAATTCACAACGTTCTTCACGCCAGCAACCTGAAAGCCTACCACTCGGATCCGCAAGATGTTTCCCGAAGTGTTCCAACTCGGCTACCTCCCATCACAGCCTCCTACGAGAAGCGAGTGGAAACCATTCTGGCGGACCACAAGATAAAGCTACCCAACGGAGCTGAGCAGACAGAGTACTTGGTGAAGTGACGAAAGCTTCCCCGAACTGAAGCCAATTGGGAGCCTGAAGACGCCCTGCGACATGAAGAAGAAGTCATCAATAACTACCAACAAGCGTCGATGAGGGCGTCGACAGTTTAAGTGGGGGAGAATGTCACGAACGGTCGTCGCGCACCCGCAACAACTCCGTTCAACGAACCGTTCGTCGCTCACACCTACATGTACAGTTGCGTGGCAACATGTTTTCTCTTGGTTTTGGGTCATTTTGCTTGTAAAAATGTAAGTTCTAACAAGCTACAGCGTTACAAAGCGACCGCTCACCGAACCGAACAAAACAGCCCCAAAACAGCCCAAAACAGCTCCGTTTTCGCGTGCCGCTGGAGGGCTGCGGTGAACTGCCTCCGCTCACCAAAACGTCAGCCATCTCAGCCCCTTTGAACCCCCCGGGTGGCACAGGGCTGGATGGGGCTTCGGTTATATATCGGGCGTTGAACTCTCTTTCGCAAGTTCGCACGTGGCCTTTACGGGAACTTGTCTTCGCGCCCGGGACCAGGTGAGCGGCTGTTTGTGGGCTTGCAGCTGTTCGTTCATCCTTCTAAAGCCTTGTTTTCTCCCTCTCCCTCTTTTCTCTTGTGCACACAAGGTGTTCGTCGAATTGCTTGTAAAGCTTCCCCTTTTCGCGAGACTTCGGGACTTGTCCGTTGCTCATTCTTTCGAACTAACCAACTTTCTCTTTTACAGGTCCTTCGGGACCTGCGAGAGGTTACAAGTGGGCTGATCCTTGCGGAGCAATATCGCAAGGGCGAAGCGCGACTTAGGCAACGCAAGCTAAGTTCGCGTCTTTGCCACAAGGGTAACTCGCGACTTAGGCAACGCAAGCTAAGTTCGCGTCTTTGGCCGCAAGGGTGCCTCACGCCTTAGGCAATTCCAGCTAAGGTCGTGACAATATGGAAAGTGTTACTAGCTGAAAGTCAGTAGGAAAGTGTTAGATATGTATTAGCTAACTCAAAAAGTTTCTAGTGTGGAATTTTTTAAAAATGTTTTCTTGACCAAAGTTTGTAGCTTCTCCCTTGCGCCATCAATGCATCATGTGCTGCACTTGTAGATGCTGGTATTCCTTTAAAACACCTTGCTGGTAAGTTCATCAAGGTGACATATATATTCCATCATTGTTGCATGCCAAACTCAACGTGTAAAGATGGCTTGTGCAGTTGCAATCTGTTGTGGTTTAACAGAGGGTGGATCGGCGATTCTAGACCCTACTAAGGCAGAAGAGCAGGTAATTTAGCTGTAACAACATGCTGTCAAGTTGATGCCTGATGTAATTATTTTCTTTATGAATGAGGGTTGCAAATCTAGCTAGTTCCTAGGATATTCCATTTACCTTTCCATTGACTCTCCAATCTTGCCATTGTTTCTTTTCCAGATTTACCATGCGAATAGTTTTGTTCTTATCAATCTGATTTAGATGGGATTGCAAGTCTGTTTGACTAGAATGTGTAATTTATCATACCTAATGATGTAGGAAACTTGAACTGCCATTTTTCGTCAGTTTTATTTTACCGTAATAGATCACAAAAAAATGCAATCAAATGCGGAACATAACTGAGTGTTGATAGAAATGTGTAATCTGCTTTAGACGAGATTGCCAGACCATTTGACTAGAATGTGTAATTTTTCATACCTAATGATGTTTCAAACTCGAACTGCCATTTTTTGTCAGTTTTTTTTTTACCGTTATAGTTCACGAAAAATGCAATCAAATGCAGAACATTACTGTGTTGATAGAAAGTCTGAATATTTTTTATATTCTTGAAAATTTAACAAGACCAACATATTTGCCCCTAACCTAGATGAAATAATACACTTGCTTTTATATAGAGGGACTATTAAAGACAGTTCATTATTAACTTCCACTAGAAAGCAAAAGTCCATAAAGGTCACTGACTTCTTTATGCATTGTGTCAGAAAATTCAAGCATTTGCTTATTTGGTGTTTCCAAATTCTCCACTATCAATCCTTCCTAGTGCGCCATCAGCAGAGGTTGATGGACCAATTGAGAACGGAATCATCACATCTGTTACACATGGGGTGATGCCTGGTAAAATTTGCACCAATCTTTTTATATTCTAATGCTACAATATATGGTCTACTGTTTTTGGCATTTTACATAATAGGATAACATAAGATCCTGTTGGTAAAATATGTGGACCCTCTTGCTCTATTTTATGTTAAGATTGTTATCATAATTGCATCTCTGAAACGTATATATCCTGTAATTTACAACTTAATGATGCTTATTCTTATTCTATTTGATCCTTCAGCATGTTAATATAAAAATATGCAAATCCTTGTGTCCATTTTGTACAAGAAAATCAAACATTAGTGAAGAAGCAAAGTTGAGATAGGGAATGTTGAATATTAATAACTGCCTTAATATACCAAAATCTTTATTGTTTAACAAAGCAATTTGGCTCGCACTTAGTATTATGTCAAATTCCTGCTCTGATATGGTAAATGCAGTTTTTTCCTTTTGTGATGCTCAACAATAATACTGCAGGGGAACTTGATGATGGAAGCTTCAATTATTTATTTGGTTAATTGGAGGAATTTTTATGGGATTTTTCTGAAGTCACGTATACTTTGTTAATCTATGCTTTTAGCAAGTTATGGTTGCTTGCTGAATGTTTGACCCAGTCAACTTGTACAGTCGGCACATGCTAGAAATTGGTTCATGGTGATTACTAAAACAAATTTCCATTCAACTTCTTTATTTTGACACCATTTCTATAGCTTCAGATGGTCATCATGCCTTTATATGGTGTCTCCAGTTCTCCACATCATGTGCCTGATTATGTGTTAGACTGTGAAGGATGGGATCATTCTTTGATGTAACTCTTCTATGTTATTATAGTTTGAACTTTAATATCATAATTTAATCTAAAAATTAAGTACCAAAAGTGCACGTTAATGATGAAATATGTGAACTCCTCAAGAACTAGCCATCAGAAAGGGTCTGACTATCACTTTTTTTTAGTCCGTGCAACCAGCCTTTAAAGGCAATAGCGAGTTACGGAAGCTTAGTATCTAGTAAAGGAGGGGACAGGAAGGTTGGAAGGAGTGACAACTGTGATGAACTGTGCAAAATGAGCAAGGGTTAAAGGAGGGGGCTGGAGAACACTGTTTAGTGGTTAGAAGATGTGGGTGGGAGGGGGTAAAGGCTCGTCTCATGTGATCAAAAGGGATGAGGAATTGGGAGGATCTTGGGAATCTCTTACGATAAGAAAGTGAAAAATGTGCCCTTTTTTGTTCCCTCTGGCATGGATAATCTTTTGTGGTAACTACTTGAAAAAAATGTATTCCAGACACTGACAGCCCACTGAAAAACTATATGTTCTGGATATAAAATGCTCCAGAAATCTTGATGTTTATTGGGATCTCCAAACAATGACTTGACATACTAACTATATTTATTGGTACATAGGCATACATGTTATGGCACACCCTTAGTCATTTGATTTAGCTGGGTCTATCCTGTATGTACTATGCTGACTGGTACTTACTGAATCACGAAAGACCTTCAGTACTCATACATGAATAATGATCCCCCATATTGCAAGTCACATATGATTTTCTAACTATAGAAAGGGAGAAATCTAAATATTTAAAATATGATTTTTTTAAAAATAGTGCCAAACAAGGAGTCAGCATAATACATGCCTGAGATTTTATTTGACAGGCTTTATTCCATCAGGAAATTGCTTTGCCATTTAATATCTGTTCATTAGCCAAAACTAAATTTGGTTTATTTTTTTGCTGTCCAAATTCTGCCTTACTTTCCATCACCATTATTATCTTATGTTCCCCAAAACTAATTCAGGTTTCTCTGATGCTTTTAACTAGTGGTTGACTATTTCAACTGCCTTGAACGTGGTCGTGCTGCATGTGCAAAGATCTCAGAATTTCATAGGAGAAGCTTCGAGTCACAAGTCCCGGGTGACCTTACTAAAGCAACATAGTCAAACATATATCAGCTCTGCTCAGGTACATTGGAGCAAAGTTATATTTCGGATACTATACTGTCTTAGTGCTGGCAAAGATATGAAGTCTCAAAATGAGTTTAGAAACTTTAGTTCTTGCTAGAAAGCAAACATTTGAAGTTCTGTGGTGGCCCCACACTTTGACCGGATGGCCTGAATTTCATGGATTTGTTTGCAACCTTTCTGAAGCAGATGTCTTGACAGTAACAAGCTGTTATATGGATTCGTCTAGGACCTAAGGGACCAAGTACCAGGTTAAACTATAGTATCCTTGATAGCTGGCAATGAATTTATTAAGATTTGTTGGTGTTGAGAAAGGTTCAAGTGCTTTACTCTTGCTGGACCTGTTGTTTGCTTTTGCCCTGTTAAACTGATGTTCTTAACACTTGATACCTGGGTGTACCACTTTATTATGGATTAGCTACTGGAGAAAGCTTGTTTTCTGTATGGACAGTGTACCCGTTTGTCTTTCAACCTTGTTGGTAGGTATTTTCGCAGACCTGCCTTTGGTAGGGTTTCCTCCTATATTTTGTTGTTCCTGTTTTGTTGCGATGGACATTTGTTGGATTCAATACCTAACTTCTCATTCTAAGGTGAGACTGAAAGTAAAACTGTTTGAAGGTGGATATTTTAATATGGATTTGACATTTAGTTCTTTTGGGAGGGCGAGCATCATTATTACACTATTAAGATTGTCTTTTCTGAATACTGTATACATTCATCATTTCCAGATTCCACATTTGTGGGAGGCGCATGCACAGGATTACTCCTATTGTGCTTGCTTTTGTTTTAATTTTTTATTGTATATTCTGGCTGACTGTCACATATTGGTGAACATTGTTCGGTTAAACATATGTTGGTGGGATGTTCGATCTTTGATTTGATTGATAAAATGTTATGCAACTTGTGTTAGGGTTTCCTATGTACGTAGGTGGAACTTTTGTTTGGATTCGTAGATGATGTATTGTAGTACCATGTATCTCAACCTGGTGCAATCCAATACATCTATCTCCATTGACATCGTAGCACCGATTTAGTAAAGGAGAGACCACTTGAGGATCTATTTCTTATATGACATTGTGAATTCTAATATGATTGGAAAAATAGATTAAATTTGTTGTGGGTGGTATCGAATGAAAAAGATGGATGGTTATATTAGGTTATTGACAATTAGCTTAAAATTATTGAAGCACCCATTGTGGTGCAAAGTAGGTAAGGGTTCTTTTTATTGTTTTGAACCAATAAGAGTAAAGAAGTTAATAGAAATAAGGGATTATATTTGTAACTTGAAATATAGTAATACTTTCATGAAGGAGATTAGTCAATTTTATTTGCTTACAGGAGACTGAGTGGGTAGGGATAGGGAAAAAAAAATCTAGAGGGAATGATAGTGTTCTATTTAAAATTTGGTATACTAAAAAAATTAAACATAGAAATAATATAGGAATTATTGTTGATAAGGATCTTATAAATAATATTATATATGTAAAAAAGTTTAGAGATAGAATTATATATCTAAAATTTGAGAAAGGATCAAATGTTTTAAATGTAATTAGTGCTTGTGCTTTTCAAGTTGGATTGGATGATCAAACCAAAAGAGAAATTTATGAAAGTTTAGATGATATTATTCAAGAAATGTCTATAATTAAAAATTTATAATTGGAGGAGATTTAAATAATCATATAGGGAAAACATATAGTGTGAATATAAGGGAGTGCATGAGAGCTTTGGTTATAGGGAGAGAAATGAAGATTGTGGTATGATTTTGAATTTTATAAATTTGTTTGATTTTATAATTATAAATACTTACACTAAGAAGAGTCATAATTATAGTTAAATAGATTTTTTTTTACTAAAAAGATAGATAAAATCATTTATAAGAGTAGTAAAATTATATATTACAAAAGCTAGATGAATCAACATAGGTTGATGGTATAAAATATTTATTATAGAAATAATATAAATATTTTTAAAAATAAGATAGAAAGAGAGGTGGCTTAGAATTTAGATGAGGAGAATATTAATATTATTTAGACTATAATAGCTAATAAGATTAGGAGTTTAACAAAAGAGATTCTTAGTGAAACACTAAGAATAGAGGTATAACATTAAAAAATAATTTTTACTACAAGATCATTTTTAAATATTGATAAATTTATAAAAATAAATAATTTAAATGATATAAAGAATCTAAAAAAAATTAAAAAGTGGTTAGTATGATACGATATAAAGCTTATGATAATTTTTATAATAAATTAGGTAATAAGCATGGTGAAAATGATATATATCAAATTGCTAAAGTTGAGGAAAAAACGTGTAAGATTTTAGGTATTATTAGATGCATTAAAGATATAGATCAAAGAATATTGATTAATAATAATGAGATTAAGGAAAGATTAAAAAATTATTTTTATAAATTATTTAATAAATACTTCATATAGAATTTATATTTAACAATAAATAATAATGATAGATTTAATAATTATTAGTTTATCTATAAAATTAGAGCTAATAAAATAAAAGATACAGATAAAAATAAATAAGAATATGGGGCTCGATGGTATTTTTATTAAGATATGAAAAAGTTTAGGAGATAAAAAGAGTAGCTTAGTTAAAGTAGTTTATTTAACAAAATCATAAGATTCGGAAGGATGCCTAATGAATGGAAAAAGAATATTTTAGTCCCAATTTATAAAAATAAGAGTGATATATAAAATTATTTAAATTATAAAGGAATTAAAATCATGAGTCATATTATGAAACTTTGGGAAGGAGTTTTGAAAGCAGGATAAAGCTTAAAATAAATATTTTTAAAAATTAATTTGGTTTTATACTTGGAAGATTAAGTTATTTATTTATTAAGATAATTAATGAAAAAATATAGGGTGAAAAAAAAAAGATTTACATATGATTTTTATTGATTTAGACAAAGTCTATGATAGGGTTCTTAAAGATTTATTATGGTGGGTTTTAGTAAAAAGGGATATATCCACTAATTATATATTAAATATATGTATGATAATATAACTATTAGTGTTAGAATTATATAAAATGTGTCTAGTGAATTTCCTATTAGTATAAGATTACACTTGCATTAAGTGCTTATCTTTTGTATATTATTTACCGATAATATTATCTTAGTTGATAAAAATTTAAGTTTAATTAATTATAAACTTGAGCTATGAAGATAAGTCTTAGGAATTAAAGATTTTAGATTAAGTAAGATTAAGATTGAATATATAAAATATAATTTTAGTAATTCTATAAATAAAGAAGAGAATATAGATAAATTGGATGGATAAAAAGTTTCTTTAAGTAAAAGCTTTGGGTATCTTGGATCAATTATTTAAAGAGATTGATGAAGATATTATTTATAAGTGAAAAACATTATGGTTAAAATGATAAAGGGTGTCAAGAGTCATCAAAGATCATTGAGATTTAAAAAAAAAAATTATAAGATAATAGTTACATAACTAGAATTGAGAATGTTGAAATGGATGTGTGAAGTTATTAAGAAAGATAAGAAAATAAATATTTTTATTCATGAATAACTAGGTATTGTTTCGATAGAGGATAAGACAAGAAAAGAATAATTTTAAAAAATAATTAATGTTAATGGTATGAGAAGGAGTAAAAGAAGACCTAAAAACATCTTAATATAAACTATAAATAAACATTTAAGTACTATAAACTAAAAATAAACATGGACCTTTCGTGATAAAAAGATTCATCCGGTTAATCCCAAATAGTTCAAACTTATAGTTTTATTATTATCATTGTTGTTAGTAGAGTCACATTGTTTAATTGACATATTTTATCCATTTATACATTTAAGAAATCATAATTCACTAAAATTATCTTTGGAAAACTGATAATAATTCACCTTTCACATTTGTATTGTCAATGTTTACAAAACTGATAAAAGGATTGTTGATTGGAGCAAATATATGATTGACAAAAGCTACATATGATAGGAGCAAGTATAAATACATATGATGGATAAACTATTCCTTGGACATTTTAATCCCCAATCAATCTATGATACAATGATCAATTATCTTGATTCATATTCATAAATTGTGGAAAATCAATCTCTTTTCTACATGTATAAATATATGACTCCACAATGAATGAAAGAGCAGCCATTTACTCATTACAGTTCTTCGTGGTATTATGGGGTATCTTTACAAGGATTTATTGACCCCTTAGCAAAAATGGAGTTCATCGAAAACCTGCTCGGGGAAGCAAAAAAATTAGCATGGATCCAATGGAGAATGGCCTACCCAGAAGAGTACCAACTACTGATGGCAAATGCGGATGGGACGGGAGGAACGCAAGACATCCTCTCACAGTATTAGAAAAGCGGATCGAAGATGGCTGCACCACAACCAGAAGTGGAAGATCGAAGATTTGCAACGAAGAGCGAAAGCGAAAGCGGAAACGCTACAACACAAGCGTTGCTTCCTCGCCGACTACACCTCCTCCCCACCGATGCTTTCTCCCTGTCGCTTCGGTAACGGCGGCCTCTTCCTCCCTGCTTTCGCGATCGAAGATAAAGGCTGTCTGCTTCCCTTTTTCGTAGATTTCATCCTCTGTTAAGATCTGTTCCAGATTGATCTGTTGCTTGCATCTTTCCGATCAGATCTGTTGTTGGCTACTTTCCTTTGATTAGATCTATTCCAAATCATCCAATCCATTACATCAAGCGCAGGAACAACTTCCTAGATTGTCCATGTTGATTAGATCTGGTTGGATACGATCAGAATGAAGACATCAAAGGCGACTTCATCAGATCTAATTGGATCTAATCGGTGTCATCCTCCATTTGTTGCCCGGGATCAACAACCGTGACTGTCACCTTCCATTTGTGGCTCGTCACCCTCCTTGGCCAACAGTGACTGTTGCAATCCTAAGTGCAGTGCAGCGGCGTCCTCTTCTTCCAATAGCGGCAACAACTTGCGATGGTTCTCTGTGATCACTTCAACCATTCTAATTGCCCCTCTATTTAAGATATCACTCGTCATCAACATGTCTTCCTCCTAAGTCCGAAAATAATAGTTCTTATCAATTTGTCTGGCTCATATTCATGAGGACAGTCACTATAACTCTCTTCAAACTAATCAAAGATAATAATTATGCATCATGACTAGCATAATTCACCAACCTCCTATTCAAATATGATTTATTGGGCTATATCTATAGCTCTTTCAGTTGCACTTTATCAACCATAACGATGAATCATGATAATAAATTATGACTTTGATAAAATCATCTTATTCTATAAGCTATTCAAGCATTAGTCACTGATTTCATAGCATCACTTATCTCTTTGTGTAGTATTATAGCAAAAGTATAGAGATCACCTTTGCTAATCACTTGTACACTTGACTACTAAGCTTTCTATCCACCCTAACGAAAATTTATATGTAGAAATTAAAGATTATTATAGATGCTTTGACTTTAATAGGTTATTCTCTCAACGATGTAGAAGTTACTGTTCACACTTTTAGATCCACTAATGTCAA